GAATCTCTGCAGTTTAATTCAGATTACTGATAATATAGTAACAAAGCTCTGAGATACTTATAACTGAGCAGAAGTCTCTATAACAGCTGTAAAACAAGATCAAGAGAATTAAATCAATATTCACTGAGATTTCACTGAGCAGTATAAGATAGAAGACTTAGTGTGATTAAATCTTAAGAATATACAGATTATATATTCATCTCATACACTGAACTACTGTTATATTAAGTATAAAGTGATAGAAGTTCTAGATAGTCATAACTACTGTCTTAATATATTATCAGAGATTCATAATATCTTTCATATAAGCTTACTTTATCACACTGTCACTGATCTGTTCTCTTCTCAACTAACTTTCAACTGACAGCTGTCAGAGATCATAGAAGAAGATAATAAGCTTGAGTGAGAAATTGAAGATATTCTTGATCAGAGATCATACAGCTGTAGTTGACAATATCTTATAAAATAAGTCAGCTATAATCAATTAATCTGAACTCTGAGTTCTGTGTTATCTGAAACAGTAGCTCTTGACTGATGAGAACTGCTTCTGAAAGAGAGAGATTAATGTGACAGACTGCATCTGATCAATTATATAGACTATTTCATACACTTTATAGATTTTTACTGCCTCATTTCTGATCACTGATTCTCAGTTATTATGAATATGTATATATCAATTGCTGATTCTCAGCTGTTATAAATGTGTGTATATTCTTTCACTCTGAAGCTTCACTGTGTACATTATCATATATATATATAAATATTCACTTTAATTACTGATTCTCACACTTTCTCTTTCTTTTCTTCTCTAATATTTTTCTCTTTATTATATAAGATCTATCAATATTATATTAATCTATTCAGTGTAGGCCTCTTACACTCTCTCTCTTTTTATCTTAATTTTAAATTATTCTCAGAACTTCTTCTGATCTTACTACTACTGTATAAAACTCTTTACTATTTTCTTCTTTAATCTCTTATAAATAGTATTATCTGTTTTATTTCTATACTTAGTTCAGTCTAAATCTATTAGAAGTGTTACTTAAAATCATTATTATTCTACTCTTTTATAAAGTCTCTTTAAGGTATTATAACATGTCTTATAATCTATTTTCTCTTACTTAAATATCTTCTTCTTCTCTTTCTTCAATTTGTAACTATGTTCATATATCTTGATAATCTACAGAACTGCAGAATATTTATTATTATTATTATTATTATTATTATTATTCTTTCATTATACTTATATACAAGCGGAGCTTATGATGAGTTCTTGTGTAATGTTAAATACAGATTAAGTGTTAATTATACAGGAGAAAATACAGATATTGAGATCATACTAAGATAACAAGAACATAGAAAAATACAAAGAAGTGACAATTAGATACATGTGATAATAACTTCTCAGCTCAGAAACATAGAGTGATTTATTAAAGTAATTTGTACATCTCTGTATTTATTAGAAACCTGAGGTGCTTGAGTTTCAGATTTAATGTATTCTCTGCGGGTTTCAAACTCACATGTCTTGATTTCCTATGCTAAGACACTACTGAGTGACCGTATTAATCATTCGGCCACTGAGGCACTGTAGAATATTTGAAGAAGAATAACATAATTGATTTCAGTGAGTATTAAAGAGAGATAGAAGTAGAAGAGATAATTAAAAATAATATAATAATAATAATAATAATAATAATAATAATAATAATAATAATAACAAGTATCAAATGCTTACTTACACTCACTTTTCTGCTTACGCAGCTCTCTCTATCACTTTCACTCTCTCTCTCAATCACTCTCTACTCTCTCTTTATCATCTCTTTCATCTCTTACTCTCTACTCTCTCTATCATCACTATCTCTATCATCTCTATCATCTCTATCATCTCTATCATCTCTATCATCTCTATCACTTCTATTACTTCTATTACTTCTATCACTTCTATCACTTCTATCATCTCTATTATTACTCTCTCTACCGTCTCTATCACTCTCTTATCATCTCTTATCACCTCTTTCATCTCTTTCACTTCTTTCATCTCTTTCATCTCTTTCATCTCTTTCACTCTCTATCTTCTCTATCATCATCACCGTCTCTACTACTCCGCAATCTCTCTCTATCATTATTAAAATATCTTAATGCACATGAGCCTCTGTGTACAAAGATGTTGCAGAGCTAAGCTCAAAACAGAAGATCACACAAGATTGATTTTACAGCTTATTATTAATAATAATAGAAGAGATAGAACTGTAAAAACATATAGAGATTCATTTTTTAATGCAAAAGCATCAGCTAACTAAGTAAGAAAAAAAACAAAAAACACCTCACTCTGTCTCATCAGCTCATATATTATTCTCAAGAACAGTTTGAGTGATCTGAAGAAGACTTGTAATAGTTCTGAATTTAATCTTCAGAATCACATTCTTCTTGTGCAGAGTCTCATTTTCAATATAAAGAGTTAAAATCTCAATATCATGATTATCAACTGACTCAACACTTATCATCTGTTTTTTCAAGACTCTAGTCTCTGTATTCTCAGCTGCAGAACACTTCTTGAATGAACTCTTCTTCTTAACTTTCTTTCTCTTTTCATTCTTCTGTTTCTTTTCTTTCACTTTATCATTCTTCTTACTGACATTGACTATATATAACTATTAGTTAATTGTATTGAAATTGACATATTTCATATTGAAAAGTGACTCACTTCTATGATAAGAGCAGCAACTTTCAGTGCTATTGTAATAACAACTGATACAAGCTTCATGACACTGATTCAGAGTGCTGATACAGATGATAAAAGAGTCTTTTTCTCTAGCACAGTGACTGCAGAGAACTGCAAAAACAGCATTATAAGATTGTAGAAGAAGAGTTTTATAATTTGTATTAATTTTTATATTAATCTGATGACTCTTTCACAAGACTGACTCATGAGTATAGAATAATTTGATAAGAGTCTGTAGCTTCTTTAACAGCTTCTCAGGCATTCTTTCAGTCAAATGAGTCAATAGTTGACTTGATGATCTAGAACTGACAGATGCAGCAGAGGCAGGCGCAGACACAGACACAGAACTGAGAATGAGATTGACAGCTGATAACTCAGCAGACTGAACAAGATTGTTGAGAACTGTGCTGACTGTTAAAATTGTAATTTTCATTATTTTGAGAATCTTACTTACAATGAATATGTTTCAAGGTGTTGTTTTCAGCTATAATAACAGTATTGATGATTTTTTGAACTTCTGATGAATTAATAGAGATAAATGACATGATTTCTGAAAAAAAAAAACAGCTGACAGAGATGAGAGATGAGAGATAAGATGAATTCTTCAAAGAGAAAGAGAATACTCTGAGATTCATTCACTTCTTCTCATACATGTATTGACAGCTGCAAGAATTCAATATCCCTTATTACATAATACAACACAGGCCTTAATAACACAGGTCTCAGAAGATTCTTAATCTCTCAGATTAAAGATATTATTATATTAAATCTGAGCTGTATAGATTAATATTCAGATTGTTTCAATATCTTCTGTAGATTACTAACTGCTCATTCTCAGATTCAGTGATTATAATAGAATTAGCTGCAATAGATTTGTCAAATTCAATAATTAAATTCAGTAAATCTGTGAGCAGAACAGGCAGAGAGAATGATAGAACAGAGAGTGAAAAACTTACAGTAATGAAGAACAAGTGAATAAGCAGATCAAATGTGAATCATGAAAAAGATGAAATAAAGAGCAGATAAAGCTATATAGAATATAGATTAGCAGAAATCTATAAAAAGAAAAGAAATATAACTTAGTTACCTGTTAACTTTAACATCTTGTATAATCAATCTCATACATCTGCATGCTTCTGCTTACTTCACCATCAGGCTGGCAAAATCTGAAATAATCAAAGAGTTGTTCAAATAGAAGATCTTGATATGTTTTGACCTATGAAACCGCAACATATGTGAGACCAGTCTGGAATTCAGTCTTGAAAATATCAAGGACAGCTCAATCAAGTGATAATTCTTGGGATTTATAAACAGTAATGATATATGCAACTGTAATAGAGAACTGCATGCAACTGCAGGCTTGATTAACATGAGAAAAGTCATGACAGCTGTGAAAGATAGGCACAAGTTTAAGGTCCTCTCATTTCAAATAAGCAGGATTATCATATTTGTCAAAATTGATTAGCAGTGCAAATGAAGAATCTTGATGAGAATTCTCCACATCTGAACTTCATACAATGTCATGAAGAGTCTCAAGAGCACTGTTAATGAGGCTGCAGTCCGTTCAAATATTCTATAGAAGTATGATTCAGCAGCTGATAAAGAGAGAAAGATTCTGATGAAGATTGTCAGTCTTATCAGAATCTAACTGAGAAGTGTCTATACTAACATTTGTAGCCTGAATATTAATAACAGGTTATTTACAGCTTCAAATAGTATCATTATTATAGACATGAACATGACACTTCTTTGCATAAATGTGAATTGTATTCTCAAAGACCAGAGCTTCATGAGAGATAAGAGCCTGCACACACTTTGAAAGAAACTCTCAATCATTCAGAGTTAACTGATCAAGACAAAGATTTTTCAAGGTCTCACAGAACTGGCAGCTGATGACATCTTCACTCACTTATCATTGAATCATAGTAAGTTGAATAGTTTTACTAAAAGTCAAGTAGATTTGACAGCTCTGAATGTCTTCTTTGTGATCAATACATCTGTTATGATAGAGTGAAGTTTGAAAAACAGATAAGAGCTGATAGAAATCTTCACTGAGAATGACACTGAGATCACTAAAATAAGTATTCTTGTGAGAGAATATGTAACAACAGGCCTGATTAATTCATGAAAGTTATCATAAATCAATCATTGACTTTTCATCAATTAACAGATAGTGAACATTCTTAAAAAGAGCCTGCAAAGATCAAAGATTTTGAGGATTGAGCAGTTCATATGACATGTTCTTGTGTATGAGGAGCTGAAATAACACATGCAAGATTCAAGCATTAATGAAGTGAGCAGCTACATCAGTTAGCATAGCTTGAATAATTGAGGTTGAGAGATCTTGAGCCTCTGCAAGATTTTGAAGAGTTATAGATAAAATCATAATCAGGTAAGTTTTACCAGTGCCATCTTCACTATCTAGATTAATTAATAAAGGATTCAGAGACTCGTCATTAAGAATCTCAGTATAATGATAGAGAATAGTGTCATGAAGAAGACATTGATCAGAGTCTAGAGTCTTGAGTGAGTCATGTTCATGAAGAGTAGTGTCTGCAGAGAAGTCAGTCTTTATATTATTTCAAAATTCTATGTCAAGATTGATATAAGTGCCAACATGAGAGCTTCAATCATAGTTGAAATCTAAGAACTGATGATCAAGCTGTTCACAGTTTCAGGTGTCAATGAGATCATCATTATCATACTGTGAATTTTAACAGATAAGCAATGCTCAAGAGAGATCAAGCTCTTCTTCATCATTCTGATCATCTTCAAACTCAGGTTCTGGTTTCAGCATGTCTTCATCATAGACATTAACTAGGTGATTATGAGAAAGACAGCAATAATTAAAGACCTCTGTAAAAGAGAGTTAAGAAGTGAGGAGATCAACAATCTTGAGATCTTCAATTTAATAAAAAGAGTGATGAAGAAGAAGTTTGATATAAGTATAGTTCTCTGAATCAGTTTTGAACTGATAAACAGAAAAGTAGATCAACACTCAAGATTTTACACAGAAATATCTCTTAATTTGATGACTGTAAGAAAAGATTTGAAGAAATTCAAGAAATGAAAGATCTTCAAATTTAGTTAACTGCTGCTTATATTTTTTCAAAAAGAATGAATCACATTGTAATTCATCAGATTCAAGAATATAGCTATGATGATGTTGAGATTCAGACTGACAATCAACTGTAATTGACTTGTGAGAACTCATTTATAAAGAAAGATTTAAAAGAAGATGATAAATCTTCTGAGCAGATCAATCACACTCATCAATGAGTTAATTCATAAGTTTAACAATCATAGAGAGCAGTGAGTGACTTGAACTGATTCTTGAAATCACTTATTGAACAATCTGATGATAGAATTCTGTGTCTGTTTCAGTCTTGACAATGTACTTAGACAGATAATCAAGGACAGCACAGCTGCCAGTGCAGAGAGCAATGTCAGTATTTACTAGTCAGCTAACTGTAATCAATCTGTTATAGTTATTGAGAATTGAGTTATTATAACAGAGATGCAGCCAGTAATATCTACTACTCAAAGATTTAAGAATAGCACAGTCAGTTCAGTATTCATGCAGGAAGTGAAATCAGCAACATAGATTGTCAGTGACTCAGTGTTTACAAATGCAGTACTTTTCACTACAGTGATGATATTGAATATGATTGAGAACTGCAGATAAATATTCAATGACATTCATCTGATCAGAATGACTGAGGGAAAGAGATGACTGTGCATCTTCAGACTGAGTGTAATTAGGCTCAGAATTCTCAGCTGTAATAATGAGGTCTCAGTAGTCAGCAAAGAATTGATGAGAGTCTTCATTCATGTCAAGTTCAGAATTCAGCACATTCTTACATCAAAATACACTATGTGAGTGCACTGATCCGCGGTCTTGTTACTTATAATGAGTTCAGTGATCTAGGATTTTGAATTTCAGGCCTAGAATCTTTTCCTTGAAGATTGCAAGTCATAGATGAAAGTAATATGCAACTATAGCAGAATAGTCATGAATACTATCTCTTACAAACTTCAACCTCTCAAGATCAGTGCCGCGCTTTCAAATGACATAGTTAGAAAAGTAATACATTAGATTATTCCAGTGATGATCTGCAGTTAAGAGAGTAAGAAATAGATGCAGAGATCTGATATTTCAAACATAGACTTGTAGCTGTCAATATTTTACATCTTAAAAAGAACAGATTTTATGAAGACTCTCTGCAAACTGTGTAAGTGAATTCAAAATTACAGCAGATTATGAAGTATCAGCAGTAAAAGCAGTCTGCAGCTTCTCTAGAGTGAGATTCTTAATAAGAGAATCAGTTTAATTGTAGAAAAAGCAGCTCTGATTATTAATCTATCTGCAGAATAGAGAATTGAAAAGAACATATTAAAAATGACTAGACTGACCGTGTGACCGTGTCTGAGACCAGGACCAAACTTTACAGTTGTCACGTTGTCTAAAAGCATTACTCCTGGTCATGATTTGTGTTCATCACATTGATCTCAAATCACATTATTTCAAATATTAAAGGTCTCAGATTCACTTTTCAAATAAAAATCTAGTCTTGAATAAAGAATATGTTTGAATTCTTAGTCACATTTTCATTCTGATTTCATTATTGAGAATGGCATTAAATAAGATCATGAAATCACTTCTCACTTACATAATATCATAACATAGTGCTCATTTGTTGAAAATTCAACAGAGAGTGTTACTAAATATTGTTACTTTTCTGAACACAGATCATAATTCATATAATTTTAATTATGAAAAAAACATAAAATATAAAAAAAAATAAAAAACAAAAAACAAAACAAACACAAGAAAAAATCACATTAAAAAAAAAAAAAAAAGAAAAGAAAAAGAAAAAAACAAAAAATAAAAACAAAAAAAATCAAGATTACAGAGCTGCAGTATTCTCAAAATACTCACTTCTCAGAGTCTTCACAATATTCATTATCAACTGTGTATTTCTCACAGTGAGAGTAACACAGCTGTGATGAGCTATTGTCTTAATATCATCTAATAAATAATCAGTATATATCTGTATAAATGTGAATAATTAGAAAATATACACTTAAAAAGTGTGATCAGAATGAACTCTGCTGTCACTTGAATGACATCAAGAACAGAACACTGAAATTGATGATTTTTCTCATTGATTTCATGAACAAGGCACATGAAGATGATCTTGAGAAATATAAGATTCTCTGACTTCTGATAAAAATGAATCTCATGAAGAGACTCTATTTTCATAATATCAGAGACTGAGTATTATTAAAAAGTGTTACTTTCATGCAATACACATACACTTACTGCAGTGATTCACTCTCTGCACATGTGACTGAGGATTGCAGCTTTTTCACACTGCACAGCTCTTTCTGAGATGCTGCTATTGATTTACAATTCATGCAGTCTCTCAGTTCAGCATGCACTGTGTATATACAGCCCTGTGTGCTGAGGCTGTGTTAATCATTATAACCTGATGTGGTACTTGCTTTTCATGAGCCATGTTTTATTTGAAGAGAGGAGAAAAGACATGACTGTTGTTTTATTAAGAGAGAAATGAATAATTAGTATTATTGAATTATTTTGATTCATCTGCATTTAAAATTTGATTAGTTTATACTCTTCAATTTGAGGGTTTCTATGAGTGTTTTAATAGTTTTCATACCAGCTTGAACTTAGTGATGGGTTGAAGAAGAAGAGAAAAGAGAGAAGAAAGAAATGAGAATAACTTATCTTTATAATATGAAAACAGAGAATTGCTGCAATCATTCTCTCTAGCAACAAAGATCTGTTTTCTGCATGTATCTCTGATATAGATTATATGATAAATGCATACAAAGAATATCAATAGTGCATGCATTGAATAAAGATAATATTGCTATGTAACACTGTAGCTGTTTCTATACATCTCTGAAAGCTGTTAATAGTTTCTTTGTCTCTTTATATTTGATAAGTCAATAATATATTCTGATGCACTTCTTCTTTTATTATCATCATCATCATCATCATCATCATTATCATTACTATCATCATCATCATTATTATCATCATCATCATTACCATCATTATCATTATCATCATCATCATCATCATCATTATTATTATCATCATCATTATCATATCATTGCCTGTCTTCACTCCTCTTCAATACTCATTAAAATCAATCATGTCATTCTTCTTCAAATATTCTGCGGTTCTGTGGACCATCAAGGCGCGTGAGCACTGTCACAGATTGAAGAAAGAGAAGAAGAAGATGTTCAAGTGTGAGGAGACAGATCATAAGACATATTATGATACCTTGAAGAGGCTCTGCAAGAGAGTAGAATGATAACAATTTTAAGTAATACTTCTGATAGATTTAGACTGAACTAAGTATAGGAATAATGCAGATGACACCACCTGTGAGAGATTGAAAAAGAAGACAGTGAAGAGCCTCATGCAGTAGTGATAGAACCAGGAGAAGTTCTGAGAATGATTTAAGGCCAAGATGAAGAGAGAGAGAGAGAAGAAGAGTGTTACTGTAAATAAGTAACAGCAGAAGAAGATTGAGAAGGTATTGAAGTAGAAGATAAAGAAGTCAAAACTGATAAGTTTTTATTAAGAGATAACAATTTTTGATAACACTTCTGTTCTCTAATTGATTAGCAGGAGCTGGCAGAGAAGAAGAGGATTGAGGCCTTATTCAGGTCTCAAATGCACTCCATGATTCAGAATATTGAGAAGACAGCTCTGCTCTCTGAGCATGCCAATCTGCTTACTGCTGAGATGGAACCTGAGACAGCAGATCAGGAAATGCAGGATTTTGAGGCACAGGTTGACCTGGCTGAGAGAGAGCAGTGAGAACCCTCCTCTGAGAAGACAGTGAAGGGAGATTTTGAGGTGATTATCATCTCAGATGAGAAGGAGAAGAAGAAGAAGAAGAAGAAGAAGAAGAAGAATGAGAAGTGAATTATGAAGAATGATAAGAAGAATGAGAAAGAGAAGAAGTAGATTTTTTTCTTTTTATATTAATTAGTTATAAGTTTAAGTTTTTAATTATTAATAATTAAAATTGATTTTGAGTTTTTAAAAATTATTGTACAAGTTGTAATCAAGTCAGGAATAATATATATATATATATATATTTAATTATCATGATTCACAAATCACTATAATGTATAAGTATCAACATTTTTTCAACATTGATATTCACAATATTAATATATTTTTAATAATATTATCTGATAATGTAATTTGATAACACTCTCTTTCACAATATTAATATATTTCAAGAAATATGACAGAGATTAATCAAGATTGTTTATTTACTTTTATACATCAATAATATTCAATCTGAGTTAGTACTAAAATTATAACTAAGCTAAGAAACAAGATTATTTTCTCTTATATTAATTCTTCTTACACACATCAGTGATCAGTTATTGAAAATAAATTATCATCTTTCTCAAATTATTATCATGTCTTCTGAATCCACTTCTTTCACTTCTTTTACTTCTATTGAAGATTCACAAACTCTTCAAGAAATCACTGTAAATCACAAAGTCTATGTTATTTATAATTCAACACAGAATGCTCTCTTTCAATCATGATAAATGATCACTTCATTCTTCACATCTGATTCCAGGTCATGAAATTTATGAAAAACTCAACACAAATATTGAGATGAACTATAGAATAATTATCAACAGATTGCATTGCAGATTACTGAAGAGTTATCTCTTTACTGCAATCACTGTAACTTTATTCAGAAACATTCATTATAAACTGATCATGACTCTGAAGAAATTTTCTGATATCTGAAGTTATCAGAATGCAGACAACAAAAGAAAAATAATCAGAAAATTACTACTGAGCTGATAAGTTGCTCTACCAGGTAACAATTTTTGATAATACTAACTTTCTAATTTGAAGGAAATCATGTGAAAACAATTCTGTATCAGTACTCTGATTTCACAACTCTCATCTGATAACTTCTGTGAATAATTACTTTGTATGTGTATATCTCTGAATCTTCCTCTTTGATCAATTGAAAACTCTGAATTCCAAACACTTCTTCAAATGCTTAATTCAAATCTTCATATTCCACATTGATTCTGTCTTTGATTCAACCTTGAGACACACTACAAAGTTAATATACAACATCTAGAATCAGAGTTGAAGAATCATTGAAGAGTGTCTCTCACAGTGAATGCATGAACTAGTACAAACAATCTTGCATTTATGAGAGTTACATGTTATTACATTGATGAGAACTGAACTTATCAAGAGATATTAATTGAATTTGAATCATTGATCAGTAGTCATACTGGGGATTATATGGCAGAGGTATTAATAACTGTGATTAAAAATGACTATTGAGATATTAGTCTCAGTCTTCTTACAATTACAACTGACAATGCTGTGAATAACTACACTATGATGAAGAGCTTGGAGCAAAAATTGGCTTTGTATTTCTGAAATGATAAACAAGGTCATATCTCCTGCATTGCTCATGTGGTTCAACTTGTGATGCAAACACTGGTAAAGAATCTTAACATTGAGATGAAGAATAATGAGATGGCTGATTCTTGAGATGAGAATGAGATGAAAGTGATTACTCAAGTAACTTTTACATTCACTTTACAAAAGATAATGTTTTTTGACAACACTTTTTGATATTGCTTTTTAATAATGCTTTTTGATAACACTACTGTTAATTTTGAATAGATTGACTAATAATTTAAATATCATAGATTTGAAACATTGCTAATGTGATTTGTATCTCTTCTAAACAACAACAATGATTTCATAATATTCAATAAACAAATAAATCAGTCACATCACTGAATATGATACAGAATGTTAGAATATAATGAAGTTCAATATATGAGATGACTGTTCAGACTCTTCAATTATGTCAGATGATTGATCATTGAGTGCAACACTCTGATTGAGAAAAGATTCAGATATTGAAACTTTCTGATATGAAGTGAACTCAGTTGAAATATATGATTAGTTTACTATTTCAGTTTTATAAGACAACAAAGACAGTCTCAATCACTTGTACATTAATGCTGCAGTCAGTCTGATGAGTGTATAACAGTTTATTTACTCATCTTGAGAAGCAGTTGAATCACTCAAAAAGAAATTCAGTCTGGGATGATGCTATAGTGCAGGCTATTGTTACTGTAAGGAATAAACTGGCATATTACTACAGTAAAATGAAACAATCTTTTACAGAGTACTATGCTGTAGCAGCTCTACTAGATTCCTTCTATTGAGTTAACATCTACACTTCTCAAGATTGAACAGAGAAGAAATAAGACTCATATGTCAAATTAGTCTGAGACTACTACAATGCCAACTATCAGAGATTTGAATGAGCAGATGTTTGAGATGTGAAGACAGTGGAATACAATTCTCTAGTAAGTAATGATCTTTAGTAACACTTCATATCACATAGAACTATAATACTAACTTTGAAACAGGACTTGTATATATTGATTGCAACTGAAAATCAGGCAAAACTACATGCTTGTAAAACTGAATTTGACTGCTATCTTCAAGATGATTTGACAAATTTACACATCAAATCAATTCTAGAGTTATAAAAAATTGTTGAGAGTACATATTCAACTGTTGCACTGATGACATATGATATTCTGACAATTCCATTGACAGGGGTAAGAATGAAGTGAAAGTTCAACTCAAGTTGAGATATTTATCACTATTGCTGAGGACAATTACAAGGAGAAACAATCAAGAAACTCATGATTGTAAAACATGAAATTATCAGACAGTTTAATACCTCTGATCACAGTATATCAGAGAAGTGTAGTTTTCATGAGAAAGTGAAGAATAAACTTGCACAAGAATGTATTTAGTTGTTTCATGAGTGTTATCAATAATTATTATCAAATTCTGATTATATAAGCAATCACTGAATGAACTGAATGAGACTGATTTTGATCTTCAGTCTCAGTCTCATTCTGATTTTGAAAGAATGATCATCTTTCACAGTTTATTCTGGAAAATTACTCTCATTTCACTGTTCTTGAATTAAATCTGGTCATTTTTCACATCATTTCTCTCAGAAATGGTTCATTTTCAGATTTTTTTGAGGCTTGGTCCTGATGGGACTCACACCAAGAAATGTATGGGACCAGACCAAATGAGATCAAATGTGAAATTCATGGTCCCGCCGGCCAGTCTAAAAATGACTATGACAGACAAAGCAGTTATCATGATATTTAAGAAGAAACTGTGTGTAATCTGTAAGACTAATTATTCTTTATCTAGAGAGAATGAATTCAGCTTCACCTTGTGAAAAAAGTGTTGAAAAGACCTAAGAAAAGAGTGAGTGAGTGTTGTTAAACTCACTAAGTGATGTATTACAGACTGAAGACAGAGTGAGATAATCAATCTGTTCTTACTGTGACATTTCAAGTTCATGATGAAGTTACTCAACTTCAGATCATAAGATCAAAAGATCTGAAACATCAGAGTATTCAGATAAGATATTCAAGTTATCAAGATTTAAATGATTCTCATTCTCAATAATCATCAATTCTTGTTTATCAAGCTCATGAAAAGAAATCTGATCAGAGACATCTTTATTTTCAGATAACTGATTTCAAGTCTCTTCATCAATCACAATGTTCTGATAATCAGAATGGTTTTTATAGAGATAGATTAGTCATTGAGCAATAGCTTCTTTATGAACTATGAAATCTCAATAAAACTGATATTGCAAGTGAGAATCTGTATTTGAATTTGAAGACTTCAATATAATAACATCAAGATTCTTAGAAAGAAGTGAAAGAGTGTTATAAACACAGTCAGTATCTCTAAGAAAGCTAATAATATGATCTTTATACTTATACTGATGTTCTCTGACTTGACAGATCTCAATGAAAATATACACACATGAAATTAACATCTCTTCAACCTGACTGAGAACAGGGAGATCTGAATCAAGATTATCAGAATCAAGGTTATTCTCTTGAGAGAATAAAAACAGCTTATCAGACAGTCATCTCAAATCAACAGCATGATAATAAGTATAAACATCATCTTGAAGATTCATTCTGAATCAGTAAATTCAATAACAGTTACAGATCTTCATCTGTAAATCTTCAAGTGCATGATGAAATTCCTGCATACACTGTCAATCATCAGAATTAACAGCTGAATCTGTAAGATAAGTAGAACTCTGAGAATTCATCAGAGAATCTGAGACAATTGCAGTCTGTAACTGATTATATTTCTGAAGAATTATAAGAGCTTCTATATTTAATGTATCAATTGAGCTTTCAGATCATGTAGAGTGCTAAGATGTCAAGAAGCTGCTAACTCTTCTATTAGATTAATTAATAAACAGATCTGCAGAGCTCTGAGAAACAGAACTTTAAGAAGTTGAGAACAAGAAAAACAATGTAAAAGATATCTGCGGCGGAAGCATACCTGTAAAAGTGAAATGAGATTGACTTAGAGATGAGTTGAATAATAATATAGATAATTAATGAAAGGCTGAAGAGAGATCTGCAGAATCAGAAGATGAATTAATTATCAAAGATAACAGCCGCGGCCATTTTCTCAATTGAGTTAAGAATGAAGTTGATGAGAAATATTCTCTATGATATCTAACAACACAGTGAGCTCTTTAAATGACAGTTTTCTTTTTATAAGTCACTGTCAATGAAGATACATCAGAACTATGAATCTCACAGTGATAAAACTTAATCTCAGATAACAGATCTGTTTCAATAGACTGTTCACAGACTTGAGAGGCTGCTGTTGATTGCATGAAGTGTTAACATGTCTGAAATGACAGAGAGAGTTCAGGCTCATTTATCACAGAA